TGAAGAGAGAATAAAACTAAAATAAGAACAATATAGACTTCTGTTATTATACTCAAGGTTGTGTGTGTGTGTGTGTGTGTGTGTGTGTGTGTGTGGAGAATCTCTATAGAAAGAGTCATCTGGTCAGAGTTCATTTACTGTCAAACTGAAGGCACTGAAGAAGCAGAACTGAAGGGGAGGAAACATTGTGGTGTCTTTTTTCTTTATTTAAATGTGTGCGGTTCTTGCAGGGATGGTTTATGCCATTTGACTTCAGGGATTGTTATCGTTTATTATTATATCCATGGGAGCCATTTTGAAATTTTTGTCCTGGTGTGGAATGGAACAGCGATGGAGGAGAAATATTTCTGATAAGTTTTCAAGGTCTTCTTCAACCTATGTGCTTAGAATTCTGCTTGAAGCTCAGTCTGCTTGTATCCATTCATCCATTTAACAGATATTTGTTGAACGGTTGTGTTATAAAACCCATAGTCATAACCTCTAGTATCTACTTCATCTTTCCTCCTTTAATTCCATCATGGATCTCATGCTGTGATTTACTCATTTTTAAGGCATGATCATATATAATCTTACCACTGGAAATTTGAGTCATTTTCCAGGGGTCTTCTTAGTTAACTTAGTCTGTACCCAAATGCACAAGGGCAGCAAATATCTTGAGAGGAGGCAGAGAAGTAATGGTTTATCTCTATTACCTAAGACACATTTAATAAATGTCTAGCTGAATGAATTAATGAATGAATGATAATTCAAATCTCTATAATTTTACTATATGTTCAGTCAGTTAAAACACTGAGCCAAAAAAAAAAAAAACCAAAAAAAAAACCACAGCAACAACACTGTGAGCCGTGTTTGATTTTTGCCTTTCCTCTTCTTTTAATACTTTCCCTTCTACATATTTCTTCTGTTATTTGGATATTAGACTTGACCTTTCTTTCTCTTACTATCATGAATAAAAATAAATGTAATGGTGATAAAATAATGATAGTTATTTACAGTTACTCCCATCTGGTTTTAAGTGGTAGGAAACTACAAACAAAGCTAGTCGAGGTGATGGAATTCCAGTTGAGGTATTTCAAATCCTAACAGATGATGCTGTGAAAGTGCTGCACTCAATATGTCAGCAAATTTGGAAAACTCAGCAATGGTCACAGGACTGGAAAAGGTCAGTTTTCATTCCAATCCCAAAGAAAGGAAATGCCGAAGAATGCTCAAACTACCACACAATTGCACTCATCTCACACGATAGGAAAGTAATGCTCAAAATTCTCCAAGCCAGGCTTCAACAATACATGAACCGTGAATTTTCTGATGTTCAAGCTGAATTTAGAAAA